AGATATTTTATAGACTTCAAGATGACGGTTCCAAATGAATACCCAGCCTCTCATGTTCAGTAAGCTGATTTTGATCAAGTTTGGATTTTTAAAGAAATTTTAAAGTTACTCAAAATTTAGGCCCAATTTTGGCCAAATTTTGTCAAAAGTGACTAGGAGAGAATTCTTCATTTTTATACTTTTATCTAATACATATACATGTCCTTATGCTATATTTCAAATTTAAGCTCATTCCGATCAAGTTTAGATTTTTTACGAATTTTTTAATTTACTCAAAATTTGGGCCAAGACCAGCCTGTACTATAATAGTACAATCAAGAATTGTATTTTTGTTTTAGGTTGGAATTTAAAGAGAGCAATCTGCCAGTCGATCTGTACCACATAATGAAAGGCCAAACAGTCGAACTATTGAGACAATGCATAGAACCACCTATCAGAAGAAACCCACGGTAATCTAATGTCCTGGAAAAAATATCATAATTGTATCCTTTAAAATTAACAATATCATTGCCCACAATTTTTTTCCTGCCTCTATTACATATAGTTTTAAAATTTTGACTGAACTTTTATCTTATATTTTACTTATTTTTTATGATAGTGCTGGGCCCTTTGTTCCCAGACCTTCATTGCAGTTCATTACTAATTATTTGGTGGTTGATTGTCTCAGGAACATTACAACTGATTCCTGTCCTGTATGCAATAAAAGAGCTTTACCAACTGATCCCAAGGTAATGATAACAACAAAAGTAGTTGTATTTGATTTTTATACCAATTTAATCGCTTCAAAACTTAAGTAAGACAGTTGGGAGAATTATTTTACTTCATTCTCTTTTATACTTAGGACATTATTAATGATGAAGGTCATCCTCAGTATGTGTATCGTATCTACTGTGGACACTTGTATCACTTCCAATGTCTTGATAGTTATATGAAAACACCTCCATTTACAGGTCATTCACTAATCTTCTCTATTATCAAACTTAGTTTAAATGGCATCGCATTGTAGCTATTTTAATCTTTAAAAAATAATATTTTGCAGATGGTTTAATACCCTGTAAGTACTTTTGTAAAATCTTTTAGTAACTATACTTGCTGATTACTGATCAACACAGTGAACTAAACTTGAAGTATGGGTACATGTACAAGATAATATTACTCTTTCCTTAGGTGGGAAGAAGTGTGTGAAGTGTGGGCAGAGGGTGTTTCATGATAAATGGAATGTTCCTCCAAGATTGGCCGATGAGAGATGGGCCCATCAAGAGGCAAGGAAAAGAGAGATTGCTGAAGTGGCTGAATTTTTAGGATTTGATTGAATCATGTCCAATATTAAATATCTTATTTATTTTACTTTAAAATTAAAAACCAATAATGATGAATACTGGATTATGATTAATTTTTAGTAGGAGTGGTCTAGATAGGGTGTGGTAAAAATGGCTGCTAGCTCTTCAGGAACTTTTGAAGGCTTTTTTCGTGGCAGTGGTGAACCTGTTGAAGATGATTTCTATGATATATTAGGCTGCCATGAGTCTTCGTCCACAGAACAGATAACCAAAGAGTATCATATCAAAGCTAAGATGTACCATCCGGATAGAGTTTTAGATGACAAAGAAAGAGAACATTGTACTGAGATATTCAGGAAGATAAACAGAGCTTA